AACCAAACGTAAAACGTTTAAAAATTTAAGTAACTAACTAAATTAAATAATACTACACTACTACACTACTCTCTATACTTAACTTACGTTATTAGTAAGTATATATATATATATATATATATATATATATATATCCAACGCAACACTTGTATCATATTATGATGCAATGACACTTCTAGAAAACCATGTTTGTGGTATTTGTATGACCTCAAATTTTGCATACACACTCTCTTCATCTCAATAATCAATCCCCCCAAAAAATATTTTCAATTCGAACCCTAGATAAGGTCAAAATGAGTTCCCTCCAAAAATGAATCTAGACCATATCTAGATTTGTTTTTGGAGGGGACTCATTTTAACCATATCTAGAATTCAAATTGAACTTTTTTTTTTTTGGAATTGATTATTGAGATGACGAGAGTGTGTGCAAAATTTGAGGTCATATTTGCAAAAAAATACAAATCGAAATAGAAAATCCCGAAGCAATCTTAACTACAGTAGATAGAAAAAATAATAATAGTAGTGCTTGAAATTATGGCCCTATGAACTTCACCATGTTTTTTTAGTCATGCATCACCCACAAGATTTCAGACTAATATTTGTCCATCTACCTATTCTACATAATTTGGAAACAGAACAATGGCCATAGTCACCACCATGAAAAATAGTCCCTGATACCACTATATACTGTGGCAAGGCGTCGCCTTGAGGATCAAATTTGATTTTCTATGCACAGTGATACCCAGCGCTTCAGTCATGTCCAACTCTCTCTGTTTCACCCCATCAGGCAGTTCCCAATCGAATTGGAGCAAGAGATTCCCCAATGCAAGTTCTACAACAGCCACTCCAAATGAGAGTCCAGGACAACCCCTTCGACCTGCCTCGAATGGAATAAGCTGGAAATGCTGTCCCCTGAAATCAATGCTACTCTCTTTAAACCTGTCGGGCTTGAATGCTTCTGGGTCGTCCCAAGAGTCGGGGTGCTCCCAATTGCCCAAGCATTTAGGAAAACCCTGGTCCCTGAAGGGATTCGATAGCCATCAAGATCACAGTCCTCTATACTCTCATGGGGAAGCAATAGTGGAGCAGGGGGATGTACCCTCAAGATCTCCTTCACCACCCTTTTGAGATAATCCAAGTGCTGCAAATCTCTCTCTTCTATCATTGTTTTGCCACTGCTTTTTGTGATCCTTCGCACTTCAGTTTGGGCATTTCGCATCACTTCCGGGTTCTTCATCAGCTCAGACATTCCCCACTCTAATGTCGCGGATGCACTTTCTGTCGCACCTGCAAACATATCCTGCACCCTTTTGTGTTTAAGTAGGCAACCCAAAGGGCTTGAATGAATCAAAAAAATAGTGCCATGAACTCCCCATACAAAATGGATCTAGCGAGGAGGAACACTGGCATATCATGGACTTGCTCGGCTCGGGCTCACGATTCGGCCACTCCGCAGGCCTTGTGGAGTTGCCATGTACAATCCAAAAAAGAACTAAAAACTACAAAATAATGTGGATAATGTGAGTTGGGCTGATTTGTACAAATAAGGTTCCTTTCTTTACAGGGGTTTATAGATCAGTGTTAGCAATACTAGCTAGGTTGACCCAGAACCGGCCACTGGCCTTGGCTGGTTTGGGCTGTCAAGCCAAGAACTTGGGGAATGATATCATGTCACTGTGCCATTTTAATATAATGAAATCACTCACCTAGAAAACCATATTTTTGGTATTGTTATGACCCCAAAACTTGCACAAACCTTCTCTTCATCCTAATAATCAATCTTAAAAAACTTAAATTTAATTTACACTCTAGATATGGTAAAAATGAGGCCCTCCAACTACTATTATAGACCATTCATTTGGTGAATTTCAAGACTTAAGCTTTTACAAACTCAAAGTCATTTGTTTCTTTTTTAACATTGTTCAATGGTAAAGTCATCTATAGAAATTGGAAGGAAAAAAAAGTCCTTGTAAAAAAAAAAGTCCTTGTAAAACCTAGATCTTAGCATCTTATGAAAATGGACGGCCTATATTAATTGGGCTAAAAAACCACTTTCTAGGTTATATTTTCAAAATTTACTTTTTGTGATCGTTCATTGGAATGAAAATAGTATACATTTAAAAATTGGACTCAAACAAGTAGTCTTAAAAGGGCAATGATTTCATGCAACAGTTGTATAGTAATATAATACAACAATCTTCAAAAACCATGTTAGGGGTCACTTGTTTGATCCAAATTTTAAAATATACACTATTGTCATTTTAATGAACAATCATAAAAAGGAAAAATTTGAAAATGCAACCTAGAAAGTATTTTTTTAGCCCAATTAACATAAGCCATTCATTTTGATAAGATGCTTAAACGATTTTTTATTTTCTAAATTTTTTAAATGGTTTTATTACCATTAGATGAAAAATGTTAAAAAAAGAAAAAATGAACTTAAAATTCACCAAATGAATGGTTTAGATTCATTCTTGGAGGGGACTCATTTTGACATTATCTAGGGTTCAAATTGAATCTTGTTTTTTTTTGTTGTTTAGGATTGATTATTGAGGTGAAGAGAGAGTGTGTGCAAAATTTTGGGTTATACAAATGCTACAAACATGATTTTTTAGAAGTGTGGTTGCATTATACCATCAACAGGTGCATTAGATCACTACTCATATATATATATATATATATATGATACATAATTTATTTGTAATAGTGCAATAGAATTTTTATATTTTCTATTGTTTTGGAAAAGATTGGGGAGTAGTTTGATCATAAATACTTAGTTTTACATTGTTCATACTTTTTTATATTATTTCTAAAATAACCCTTCAAAGTGATATTTCAAAATTCATTTTTTCTCATTTTTGCGCTATCTTTTTATGCTCATTTGGATGTATTATTTTAAATTCTACTTTAAACATACTTTTTATTTGTTTTAGGATTTTTTTCTTTTTTTTTTTTAAAAAAACTAATGCTTCTATGCGCTACCTGGAACTTATCCGGATCTGGTCCATGGCCAGGTTCTGAGTCGTATTTTCGTGTAGATGGTGGTTCTTTTGGACCAAACTATTCTTGCAGACAAGCGTTAGGGATTTTGTGTTTTTATTTTTTTGGGTTAATCAAGTAGATAAGATAAATCCTTATTCGTTTTTTCATATAGATTCGAGAGTTAGCTATTTTGAAGGTGCATTAGCTATTTTGAAGGTGTAAGTAGATAGTATCAGTAGGATTGGAAACCATAACATGATTATTAGCTTTTCATAACATATTTATTTCACGTCATGATGGTTTTTTAAAAATTTTAAAAAAGAAAATAATAATAATAATAATAAAAAAAAAAAACAATGGATTTAGATGTTCACAAACATGGATTTAGATGTTCACAAACAGTTAAAAATTAACTTCTGTACTAGAATTAATTTCCGGCATTTGTTGAGCTCCATTTCTTTGTTGAGCTCCATTTCTTTTCTTACTTGATGGATCTCAGATATGAGTAAAGGTCCTGCTCCATTTGGGACAAAACAAACCACAAAACAAGGTTTTTTTGTCGTCGGGTCTAAATCTAAAATTTGTTCCAACACGACCATAAATCTTTCCCTGTTGTTAAGTGTTTTGTATGTCCACGCAAACTTTTATTGGACAAGTTTTTCTATGCTTCCCTTACAACATAAAATTTATATACTTCGGTCTATTTTGAATGGAGGGCTAAGATTGTCCCAATCACAACATCACATCTCTACACTATTTTATTTTTAAATTTTTTATATATAATATTTTGACACAAATTTTGGGCATCCAATCCTCTATTAAACTCTCACTCGTAAAAAATATAAAAAATTCCCGATAAAATAAAATAACTAAAATACCCCTAAAAGATTCAAGGGGCATTTTGGTCAATATATTTTATCGAAAAATTATTTTTAATATTTTTTGTAGGTAGACCCCAATTAGAAGATGACATGTACCAAATTTCATATTCATACACTTTGTATAAAAAAACTTAAAAATAAAATACGCTAAGGTATTGGATCTAGGATCAAACAATGAGTGGCTCACTTCATAAAAATTGGATGGCTGGATGGTAGGGGAAGCTTAGATCCTCTATGCTGTAGGGGAAGTATAGAAACCTTTCCTAAGCTTCTTTACCCTTCAATTTCACAATAATCTTTTCTGCCACGATTATGATTCTAAAAATATAATTAAACTCAAATATTAAAGGGAAAATTTTATATAGAGCCAAGGCTCTAAACAATCAAATTTGAGCCTACCTAAAAAATTGCACTAGAAGAGGTTGTTTTGATGCCCAAATATCCTCAAATTGATCATCTCGACATCAAGATGCATGAACATGAGAAAAAAATGAATTTCAAGTATTGGAAATAGTATATTTTGTAACACATTTTTAGACTGTCAATTTTCAAGATTTTCATAGATATATCGATCTACACTATTTTTGAAGCTTTAAACTTTATAAATAAAAATAGAAATATATTTAAGGCTATCACAAATATTTTTAGTATTGAAACCACATTTCTCGACACCATTTGAAGGTGGGCTCTAATATTATTGTTTAGAGCCTAGGTTCTATACAAATCACACCCAATATTAAAAATATATCATTTAAAAAGAGAAAGCTGCAAAAATAGTAAAAAGCTAAGGTTTGAAATAAGAATTGTATACTAAGACTATTTATCTTTCATACAAGAAAGTCACAATTACTTCTAGCTATTAGATGCCAAATTGGATGGCTCGGATGTGTCATAAAGTTCGAGAAATTTGCTTTGGAATTTTGATTCTAGTCAACAATATGCTTACAACTACTCAATTTGAGATCGGAAGGACAAGAGTGAATTTAACCTCCTTGTTCTAAAAGTAAATGGTCTCTTTAAATGTTATTCCTTTAAAATAATATATTCTCGAAGTTCAAAATAGATAAAGGGATAGTATTGCGTCCAATACATGTGGAAGCTGAATAGGTGCACGAGCACATTTTAACGGTTCAGATTGAACTAGCCTCATCCAAGGGCCAAAAATGAATCTTATTTTTAAATTTTTAATTTTATTTAAAAATTATGTTAATCTGAAAGTTGGGTTTTAGCTTCATTTTTATATACGGAATTGAATTAAAAATATTGATCAAAATAAATTTAGTGCATTTTGGCCATCTTTACAAAAAAAAACCTACACCCATATATTCAAATAAATATTTTATTTCAATAAAAATAAAAAAATAAAAAATTAAATTGAGTTTTGACCTTAGATATGGCCTCGAGAAATTTTAACCATTGTGCACCCTTCCACGCTTCTGACTTTTCCATGGATAAAATGGTTGTGGCCACGGATTCCTAAGGGAAAGTACTAGAGTTGCCTAGGAGGGTTATTCTTTGCGTAGTGCCGAGGATGGTGCCTTAGTGGTGAGAAGTAGGGTAAGAATTTACCCAGTTTGGATTCGAAACTCAAATTTCGAACTCTATCTAGGTTTGGGTATGACATCCGATGGATTGGATTTGGATCCAAAATTTGGATCTGAATAATCAAAAACTTCAGCTCTAAAATTTGGATCCGAATAGTATTTGGATCGGATCCGAGTGCAGATGGATCTGATCTAGATCCAACCTAGTTATTAAAATATTATATATTATTTATATGTACATGTTACATAATATTTTTTGTTATATATTAGTTTATAATATAAAATAATATTTGGATCTGATTAGCTCTGGATCAAGCTCAGATCGGGCTGTAGTCCCCATGCATACTTTTCATATTCGAATCCAAATCCTCTTGGATCCAGACCCAATCTAACCCATTCACAGCCTTAGTGAGAAGGTGCTTCGATTCTCTCACCCAATCTCTGTCCCCCGTCATCCTAAATCCACAATTTCTTTCAATTTCTCCATGGTTCCCCAACTTCCTAAATCTCATCTCTCAATTACCACATTCTCTCTCTTTGCGCTGCTTTCCTTAATGCTTGAGACTCTCCCTACACTATTGCCTCTCACTCTCCCCTTTTACCCAAAGTTACCCTATGTATTGGAGGCGTCAACAATGTCTTCCTATTCTTGTCATGTCATATTGAATTCGTATATTCAATATAGAATTTTCTTCATAAAAACTTGAGACTTTGACTAATTAAATGCCGGCTGGCCTAAAATGCCCCCCATGTTAATTGCTAACCCAATTCAATGCCTACATGCTCACAAGATACCCTTGCAGCCTCAATTTAAGTGCCTACTACCATGCCTTCCGGTACTCCCAAAGGCACAACCTCTTTCCCTACATTCTTGTACCCACACATTTCTCCTCCTTTTCTCCATTAACTCTCCTTTGGTCCCTTTTCTCAATGAAATCTATAACCCGAACCTTAGTGGAATTGCGAGCCAGGCCCAAGGGCAGGCTGGGGCATGACAGGTCTAGCCTAGCTCTTATTTTTCTTTTCTTCTTTTTCTTTTTTTTTTTATTTAATTTTTTCTAGCCCAACCTATCTTGGCCTTGAGAGGCTAGGACTAAGACTAGGCTAGGGTCTCTCTTTGGCCTTGGCCCGATCAAGGATAGGCCGGGCCATTGACAGCCCTACCCCAACCCACCTTTTCTCTCTCTCCCCGAATCCCCCTCATTCTCTTACCCCATCTCACTCTAAATACTCCAGTGTCATCCCTTGATCTCTCTCTAACCTTCTCTCTCTTTTGGAGCTCCCTAACATACTCTTATTTATACATTTTTTAATTTTTTAGAGTAATACTATCGTAGGTCTACTAGCCTACAGCTAGATACATATAAGTCAAACGACCCATATTGAATCTGGGCAGATCCAATTATCATGATTGTATTTCGTATTTTATTTTTATTTATTTTTATATAAATCCAAATCACTTGAAAATTTGGACGTATGTTCTTCAAAAATATTAAAATCTATTAAAAATATCAAAATAATATTTTGTGAAAAATAAATTGATGAAAATACTTCTGAAATATTGTAGAAGTATTTTGATCAATTTATATTTTATGAATTATTTTTTTAATATTTTTATTAGATACACATTGATAAGAAGAATAGATGCCCTAAAATTTCACATGATTTGGATTTTTATAAAAAAGTAAAATTAAAATAAGAAATAATGTTGTGTCCGTCAGATTAGCCCAGATTGAATTTGGACCGTTGGGCCTATATGTAGCTGCAGTCTAGTAGACATACTCCAACAATTCTCAATTTTAAAATTTAATCCGTCTCTCTTTAAGAATAACCCCTCCCGTATCTTTCTCTCACTAGAACCTAAAGGCTACCATGAATTGCGTCACAGCTCTTTGCAACAAATGCCTCTTAGCGTTGCAGTGGGTTTTCTTGCTGATAAAGAAGATTAGCTTGATGAAGAGAGGGGGGCTGAAGTCTTTCTCTTTGGTGATCGATCCTTGGAAAGGAGGTTTTATTTTTTTCGGGGCAAGCTTTTTATGCTTCCCTACAACATATATATTTCCCCTGATTCAACCGTCCATTCTGAATGGAGGGCTATGATTTCTCCAATCACAATGTCACATCTCTACACTATTTTATTTTTAGTTTGTTTTCTACAAACTATTTTAACACCAAAGTTTGTGTCCAATCCTCTATTAAACTCTCACTAGCTAAAAATATAAAATAAAATATTTTCAATGATATAAAATGACCAAAATACCCCCAAAAAATTCAAGGGGTATTTTGGTCATTATATTATATCAAAAAATAATTTTTATTATTTTTTATAGGTGATCCCCAATGAGAAAACGGTACGTCCCAAATTTCATACTCATACGAATTGTATAAAAAAAACTAAAAATAAAATACTTTGAGACGTCGGATTTAAGATCAAACGATGAGTGACTCTCTTGATCAAAATTGGACGGCTGGATGGTAGAGGAAGTATAGATCTTTTATGCTGTTAGGGAAGTATAGAAATCTTTCCTTTTTTTCCCTCTTTTTTTTTTTCTTTTTTCGGATTATACATTAACGGTGGGAAGGGTACACAAGCACCTTCTTTTAATATTTGAGATTTCACTTGGTCATATCTAATGGTCAAACGTTGGTTTTAGTTTTAAATTTTTATTTGAATAAAATATTTATTTGAATTTTGGATTTGATGAAGCTGGTTGAATCTGAACCGTTAAAAACTGCACATTTGATTAAGAGAGGAAAGGTTGAGGTGATATTGAGGGTTTTTCATCATAAAAAACAACCTTTTGTAGTAAATTTGTGAGGTGTACTTTAATTTGATTGTTTAGGGCCTCACCCGTATATAGACTTTTTCCTATTATATTGAAGACTTTTTCCTATTATTATCGAAGTGGTGAATTGAAGCCCATTAGAGTGTAAGGCTCACGCAACTCTTGTTCTCTCCTGCACCATTAAGCTTTGAAAGAAAAAGTATCCCATCCACATCATTAAATAGGTGAAAGGATACACAAGCACCCTTCCATGGTTGAGAATTGACAAGGACATATCCAATAGAAAAAAATTAATTTTATATTATATTTTGGAAAAGTATACAATGAGACTATTTACCGTTATATAATAATATAATGCAACAATCTTCAAAAACGTTTTTGTTTGATCTAATACAACAGCCATGTTATAAATTTTAAGGCTATTTGTTGATCCAAAATTTAAAATATACATTTTTTTCATTCTAATGAATAATCACAAAAAAAGAAAAATTTGAAAACACAACCTAGGAAGTATTTTTTTAACTCAATTAACATTAGTCGTCCATTTTGATAAGATGCTTAGATCTAGACCTCAAAAAGAACTTTTTATTTTTCAAATTCTTTTAGATGGCTTTATTATCATTAGATAAAAAATATTAAAAAAAATAAAAATGATTTTGCGTTTATAAAAGTTAAGATCTTGAAATTCACCAAATTAATGGTTTATATTCGTTGTTGGAGAATAATCATTTTTACCATATCTAGCGTTCAAACTAAACTTTTTTGTTTTTTGAAATTGATTATTGAGATGAAGAGAGTATGTGTACAAATATTTAGATCATACAAATACCATAAACATAGTTTTCTATAAGTGTGGTTGTATTATACTATGATGCAACCGTTGCATTAGATCACTAGTACCAGATTACTTATCTAGAAAAACAATTTACTAGATCAAATTTTTTTCAGATTCTATACCTCTCAAGTTTAAGAAAGTGTTCAGGGTGTGAATTGATAGTTTCTTTGCCATAAAAGAAACAAAGGGAACAATAAATATGCAATGACAGAGCAAAAAATTTGAAATGTATAGAGATATTACCAAGACAAGTGATTTAATTTGATCTCTGGTGAGGGTGAAGTCAGGGGTCTCCTCTCTCTGCAGTTGCAGTAGAACATCAACGAAATCCTCCTCTTCCTTGGCCTCCCCATGAGAAGAAAGAAAATGATCAGCTATCACTGTTTCAAGAAATTCATCCCATCTAGCAAAGTTTTTCTCGATCCGGTATTGTCGTCCAGCAAGGTAGTTCACCCACTCCATTGATGGAAACACATCCCCTATAGAAAATCCTGCTGCCAATCTCTGTGTTTACTCCATTATGTCCTTAAATGCCGATCCTTTCTCCCAATACCTCTTCCAGAATGCGATCCTACAAACTACATTGCTTGAGAGAATAGGTAACATCATGCTCAAATTCATAGGCAAACCAGTTACCAGTTTCGGCGGAAGATGGGATAGAATCAATCAAATGTTTCACTTCTTCTTCTCCTACCGGCTGAAACGTTTGTGTTGCGCAGGTAACATCATGCTCAAATTCATAGGCAAACCAGTTTCGGCGGAAGATGGGATAGAATCAATCCAATGTTTCACTTCTTCTTCTCTCACCGGCTGAAACGACTGCATCCTCTTTGTGTTGAGCAGTTCAAGGATACAAATCTTGCGAACTTTCCGCCAGTATGTCCCATAGGGCGAAAATGAAACGTTTGAGTAGCCATACGACAGACGCTTGACCGCAATGAGAGGGGTCTGCTCGAGAATGCGAGGTCATTGACCTTCAGGACTGGCTCTGCCATATTTGCAGAAGACACCACCAGGGTGGGCAGTTGGGCTAGGTTTAGGAGCAAGAGGGGTCCATAGGTTTTGGCCAGTTTGGCCAGAAAGCGGTGTGGCATTGAGCCTATTTGGTGGAGGTTTCCGATTATGGGGAGCCCTGAAGGACCTGGAGGTCGCTTCTTCTTATCGACGACCTTCTTGGCAAAGCCGCCGAAAGGCAACAGCAATGATAAGACTGAGAAAACGAAACCGGCAACAAACTTCATTGGTGTTTGATGGTCATCAAATAGATCGAAAGGAGCAATTTACACATGAAGAAATTAGCCTTTTTTTTTCTTCAGTAAACTAGGTTCGAATCCAGAAGTTCAAGGGTTCGGTGTACTGGTTTGATAGGGCACCATTCTCATTAATCTATAGGAAGGTTGTGAAGCCAAGAGGTTTGTTAGTTTAGGGGTTTGGGTAATGTACAGAGGGAAATTACTTTATTCTTATCTTCACTGTGTTCCAGCCAAAAGAAGATGAGACGTATGATTCTCGACTACATATTCATTGAGGTGACCGAGTTCGCCGTACTTTGTTTTGTGTTTTTTATTGCATAGATGGGTCCCAAGACTCTGGCGTTTTTGACAGGGCAACGTGCTTTCGACATCGTTGAGCTTAATGAGGAATTTTAAATAGGGTTAGAGTTGCATCCATAACGGGTTGGGCCTGGGCCTTGCACCCCCCAGTCATGGCCTTGGCCTTAAGAAGGCCAGACCGTGGCTGGTAAAATTAAAGGAAAATAATCCAAAAAAGATAAAAACATAAGACTCACGCCTAGCTCTCGAGGGACATTTTGTAGCCCTAGGGTTGAGCCAACTGGGCTATTGCCACACCTATCCACAACATGTGAACGTGGTTAAGATTGAACTAGCCTCATCCAAAGGCTAAAAGTGAATTTTGTTTTTTATTTTAATTTTTTGTTTAAAAATAATATTAATCTGAAATTGGGGTTTTAATTTTATTTTATAGTTATCATTAATTAATAATATTTTAAATAAAAAATTGATCAAAATAAATTTAGGGGTATATAGGTTATTTTTATTTTTAAAAAATCTAATCATTTTTAACTAGTTCTCTTTAGAAAAAAATAATAATAATAATACAACAAATATCATATTTTCTCTTAAAAATAACATACAACAAGTATTACTTGTAAATATATATATATATATATATATATT